GCAAACACATACACTTAGGCAGGCATAATCATGCAGTATTGCATTTTGATTTCTATCGAACTGCACGAAAGCCGTATTTGACTAACGGATGTTGCTTTAGTTCAGAAAGAGCTGTATTTGGAAGGCGCCTTTATCGTGGAATATTGCACTAGAAACATACAGTTGAGTACTGTACTACAAAGTGCAAAAATTTTTCGAATCAGATCAATAACAGAAGAAAGCACTTTATCTCTGCATGAATTCGGTCACTGAATTCGAAAATGATTTCGGAAAGAAATTTGCCGAGGTCCGCAATAGCAAGCAGTGTCAAAGGTATACCAAACACAGCAAACAGAACACAAAATGCACGCCCTGAGAATGTTTTTGGAGCAACATTGCCATAGCCTAAAAAAAAAGTCAACAAACTAATCGCAGACTGATGTAGCAGAGTTTGTTTAATTTTTTACGAAGAATTCAAATTTGATCACAGCAATCCTACTGATTTTTTAAAAATGTCCATTTTTTCACTGAAAGAAAACTTTGACAACAGCACTCGCTGCAAGTAAAAGTTTCGCTCTATTTTTGGTGTTTCTTAATAGAAGTAATGTTTTTATCAAGGCTTCATAGACAGTGGCGTGCATCACACAGCGCAAGCAGTTATATACTACTGCTTCAAGCTGCTCCAGGTGATCAGGAAGGTCGTCATAATGATATTTTAACTTCAAAGCTCTTTTTTGGAAGCCTGAATATCAGTTTCGTCCCCGGTCAAAAAATATTGAGTTTTTAAGGCTGATCAAAAAGGGCTCGCAATAGTTAAAATTTTAAAATTCCGGATGCCTGAATCACCTTGTTCTTAATTTAGTAATTCGTCTTTTGCTGGGTGCGCAAAAATACCCAGATATCATGAGTAACGATAATAGAGCGCTGTTAGTTTCTCGAGTTAAAAGTAGCCATTTACTGTACACTCTCAAAAAATCACTTTTTTGGCGCATCCTACCACTTTCCTTCCGGCCCTTTTTGCTAAAATCTCCCGCCCCGTCTTCCTTGCTGCCCGCCATTCGAATTGATTATGAGCAAAAATTATTGAAATTGAGCAATTAAGACGTAAATTATGACATAACAAACCAATTGTAGTAATAACGGTAAATGTGAATAGCAAAGAATCGGTGAAAGACCAAGGTTTTGAGGAATCCATATCTTCTACATCTGCAAAAATAGCTCAGCTCAGGCCAAAAAATTATTTGAAGCTACCAACAGTATGCCTGATTTACTTCACGGGTATCTTCATCAAAATAAGCGCGAAAGGGAAGTTTTGACTTTGACTCTGGTCTTTACTGCTGATAACTTTTTATCACTGAGATTTTATTAGTGGATAAAAAAGTTATTTCTGACATATCGCTCAAAACAGCACCCTTTATTGATATTTTTTTTTTTCAAATACTTTTTTCAGAAAAAAAAAATTCTTTGTCATACTGCAAGGGTTGACTTGTATCCATCAAAAATAATTATGCACATGCAGCAGAACG